GGTTAGTGAACATTGATCAAAATAAGAGCACATAAATAAGAGTCTTAAAACTGACATGTCACCTCTGACTCTGTTTTATTAATCGGAGCTGTTTGTATCTCACAGAACAAGTGAGTTGCTTGTCAGAATTGACCTTTCTTGCAGTAATCAAATCTACTGAAACCTTTTAAAGATGGATCATGCTGAGACATGCACAATGTTTGTCATGAGCTTTGTTTCTCCCTTCTTCCTCAAGTGCCCAATTCCCTCAATCCTTTCTCACGTTGTGACAGACATTTTGGAAAGGATGGATGATCAATTGTATTGATCAATTGTTATATAAACTGTGGTGGTATTTAACATGATTGAGCTAAAGCATGTTTGATATTGTATGAAATACCTCTAGATCAGGGGTCAGCAAACTTTTTCAGCAGGGGGCCGGTCTATTGTCCCTCAGACATTGTGGGGGGCCGAACTATATTTTGGAAAAAAAATATGAACAAATTCCTATGCCCCACAGATAACCCAGAGATGCATTTTAAATAAAAGCACACATTCTACTCATGTAAAAACACCAGGCAGGCCCCACAAATAACCCAGAGATGCATTTTAAATAAAAGGACACATTCTACTCATGTAAAAACACGCTGATTCCTGGACTGTCTGCAGGCCAGATTTTGAAGGTGATTGGGCCAGATCCGGCCCCCGGGCCTTAGTTTGCCTACCCATGCTCTAGATGCATTAAATATTTTATAGCTGCTTTTTAAAAACTATCTTAGCGATTCATTTTAAATGAAATACTTCTACTAAATGTAACTATGTATTTTATTTTGTCGACAATGAGTGTGATAAATGGGCAGTTCAAACTAGTACTACTCTTACCTTGTTACAGTGTGCCAGTTAATGAATTTGTGCTTGATTCGGTTAATTTGTGGTGGAGTAGTTGTTTGGTTTCCCACATGATCAGTAAACCTATGAGACCAAGTTGCAGAAAGTTGTAAGTCCGGACACAGTCTCTGACCTGAAAATAAACGCTTTGTCAAGTGTAGCAAATATATTTTGGAACAGCGTATGTCATATTTTAGAATGCCTGTCTTCATTTTTATTGATGGTTCCAAAGCAATAAGACGCTCTTATGTTAATCTTCCCCTCACGCCCAAAAGTTCCTTCATAAACTAGGACCAAACTTTTCTCATGTGGGTTGTTCCTGCTTACATTTGACAGTTAGATATTGGGGCTGACAACCTGAAAAGTGCTGTTGGCGTGCGTCTCACATGAAAGGCTGTTTGTGGATTTCATGAGCTAGGAACAAAAAATCTACTCAGTGGTACAGGTGGTACCTCAGAACTTGAACGTAATCCGTTCTGGAAGACCGTTCGGCTTCCGAAATGTTCGAGTTCTGAGGCGCAGCTTCCGGTTGGCCGACAGCTAGGTTTTTGCACAGTGGAAGCTGTGTCAGACATTCGTGTGCTGAGGAATGTTCGAAAACTGAAGCACTCACTTCTGGGTTTTCAGCGTTCGGGAGCCGAAACGTCTGAGAACAGAGCTGTTTGAGTTCCGAGGTACCACTGTATTTATTTAAAATCAAGGTTTCTACAGTATTCTCTCATCTTCCACAGCAGGGGGCCCCAGTGAGTTGGTATTTTCAGTGCATATGTAACTCCACATTGCTATCTTTAGATAAATCTGGTTTAATAGGCATTTACTAGTATCCTGGCAGTTTATATGAGGCTGATGAAATTATCAGCTGTTTTTTCTGCCATCCTGTGGTTGTTTTTAAGTACTGCATAGTCACAACCACATCAAAACTTCTTTAAAGCATACATTATATAAACAGTAGCAGGGTTGTAGTGTGCTATCATGACTTGAACTTCTGGGGTAGCATGGTTGTTACTGGCACTGCGTATAAGACAAAGGTCATCTTAAAGCTTACAAGTTCATATAATAAACCACAGTGTAATGCTCATTTTTGTAAATGAAGGTGAATGGATGCCTTTCTGTTTACATGTTCATAATATATAGATGACATGTTGTTCCAAGGAGGGTGCAATGTCATTAAGGCAATCTCCTTTATTGAAATAACCTTTGTTAGCGCATGAGTATGCAAACTTTGGACTCAAATAATTGAACTATTTATCAAGCAGAATAGAAAAGTAATGAAATAAGAGAGGACGAAATAAGAGACCTGGATTCCTGTGCCCCGATTTTAATCCCAATCTTCACAAAGAAGGACAAAAAGAGACTAGCTTGTACTTCCTATCCATATCCTTTAAAACAAAAATTACAAATGAAGCAAAAGCTTTGATCCTTTTGCAATGAATTCAGCCTGAACATTTGTAAAGAAATAGATAGTTTTAAGGCGATAATAATATTCCAGCGCGTTCACCTCTATGAAAGTCTGCTAGGGGAGGAGAGGACAAAATAATAAGCTACAGGCAACTATGGATGCATCTTTAGGTCTCAGGCCAAATCAGAAAATGCCCACTCTATTTTTTATTTATGTTTCTAGTCAGTTTAATTCTGAAGATTCATAGTGAGTAACAACTTAGAGCAGGAATGGGAAGCCTGCCTGCCTGCAGACCTAATTTAGTCCAGCATGTGTCCTAATTTGGCCTACAAGGTCATTTTCCTTAAGGCACTCCCACATGCCCCACATCTGAGATAATATGGGAAATTACGTTTGGGACAGGTAAGGAAGCAGCCACAAAGAAACAGTTTCCTGATTGTTCCTTGCAAGCAGGGCTTGCTAACAGTGAGTCCCTCTGGGATCAGCTGCACTCGGGAGTCATACCCTCCATCATTCCTCCAACGGAAATAGGGACATCCTAAGGAAAAGCGGGACAGTCTGGGATCAAATCAGAAACCGGGACGGCTTCTCTAAATTAGGGACATCCCAGGAAACTGGGACACTTGGAGGCGCTGGGGAGTTTCAAATTAAATAGTGTGTGTCTATTGAATGGCATTTGCACATGTAAGCAAATTTTCTCATCAGCACTGGATGATGTTGGCAGCACTGGGGACTTGCTTAATTTATAAGCCAACAGATTTGCTATTTCATAGACTTGCGCTTTAGCAAATTTCTTCAGCAAAGCTGAAGCATTAGATGTTGATGATTCTGGAAGTAGACTTTGACTAATTTCTGTGAGCTTCTGAGTAAGTGTGTGTAAGATTGCAACCAGAAACCGAGAAATCTCCTATTGTCTCAGGTACACTGGTATTTCTGCCCACTGAGTTTCAGATAAGCAGAGTCAGACATTTTAAAGACATCAGCACCTGTGACCTCTCTTTATCATGTATTTAGTGGACGTTTGTACTTGCTGTGGCTTAATATGTGTTTTTGTAACACTGTGCATTGTACAGCAGAGGGAGTATTTTGTCAGGAATAGAAGATATTTGTCACAGTATCGCAAAACTCTATTAAAACGTGCCTTTAATTTTTTTAAAAAACTGTAATAATCAAGTCCCAGTGCAATATCAAATAGATTTATGGGTTAGAATTCAGCTGAGAATGGTTTCTTAAATAAAGCTTTGTTCAGATTCTACCTTGTCATCATGTTTTATGTACACAATATAGCATTCCCAAAGGGGGAAGGAAAAATTAAAGTTTCTTTAATATATTAAAAGTTTAATTGTGTTGCTTTTTTCACTCATGAGGGAATGATTAATCAAGAACAATGCTGTTATCTTAGTGGTGAAAAAATTAAAATTGCTTATATAAGTTCTGGCGAAATTGCACTCAAAAAACAAACTGAGCAACTCTCAATGGGCAAATATACATGCATGCATTCCTCGCCTATATCTATTTTAATATATGCAGTCTCAGCCTACTGACTATGCCCCTTTATGTTGGGGTGATTAGTAAACCATGTCTTTGGATAGCTAACACGTTTTTCTCAGCAGTGTTTGGCTGCATCATAGATTAGTTGTGACTAGTCTAGTTTCAATCTAGGAGTCCCCCCCTGTGAGTGTCAAAATGAGATACTATTCCTGCCATTTACATAATTGTCACAAAGGGACTAACTTCAAGACAAGGCTATAACATTCACTTGTCAATTGGGTGGAGGGCCTGTACATCTTGACAACTGAGGCAGAAAATCCAAAACACTTCCTCCCCATAATTGTAAATTTGAATAACTGACTACTTGTTACTCTTTGACACCCAAAAGTAGCTACTTGAACTGGCAGCTGGTAGGACCAGTGTTGCTTGCCCAAAGTCCTGAACGCTCACAGTGCAGCAATATATTTGCAGAATGGGTGAATAAGGAGGCAAGGGAACATGTGGATTTAAATCCCCATCCTGGGAGTCCAAGTGTCAAGGATAAGACTTGTTAGAGTTGCTCAGTGTAGAATTAAATTAGCTTTCCCACCCCAAAAATGAGTTTCAGGGCTTTACTGCAGAACAGTCTTAAATATTAGTTACATTGGATTAACAAAATAACAAAATAACACATTGCAAGGAAGCAGTGTGGTTCAGTCCTTTAAGTCGTTTATGCAGTTCAATAAACTTTCCTCTCTCTGGTCCCGGAGAGAGATTCTAAGCTTGTTCATCATTGCAGAGTTTCTCTGCTGCAACTGCTGCTGCTAGCCATCTTTGACTTCACAAGTTTCCTCTCCTGTTGTGAGAGCAGCTGCTCAGGTTTTCTGTGATGAATCATCAGGTACCTTAACTCACTGAAATGAAAAAAACTCAGAGTGGAACCTCTCACTTAAGACAGACTTCTCTTTCCAGCCTCCAGTGGAATCCATGATCTGGACCTTGGGTAGAAATGAATTCAGATTCAAGAATGTGCTTCAGACCTTTACTGCAGAACAGTCTGAAATATTAGTTGCAATAAGATAAACATTACAAAAAAACCAAGTAGCACACTGCAAGCAAGCAAAGGGGTTCAGTCATTTTATGCAGTTCAGTAAACATTCCCCTCTCTGACCCCATTTGTTCACCATTGCAGAACTTCCCTGCAACTGATGCTGCTACTCCTGCTAGGTAAAGGTAAAGGTAAAGGGACCCCTGACCATTAGGTCCAGTCGTGACCGACTCTGGGGTTGCGGCGCTCATCTCGCTTTATTGGCCAAGGGAGCCGGCGTACAGCTTCTGGGTCATGTGGCCAGCATGACTAAGCCGCTTCTGGTGAACCAGAGCAGCGCACGGAAACGCCGTTTACCTTCCCGCCAGGGCGGTACCTATTTATCTACTTGCACTTTGATGTGCTTTCGAACTGCTAGGTTGGCAGGAGCAGGGACCGAGCAACGGGAGCTCACCCCGTCGCGGAGATTCGAACTGCCAACCTTCTGATCGGCAAGTCCTAGGCTCTGTGGTTTAACCCACAGCGCCACCCGTGTACCATGCTACTCCTGCTAGCCATCTCCAAAACAGGCTTTTCAAGTTCCAGCTTCTTGCTGTGAGAACTCTGCAGCTCATGTTTCCAGAGAAGAATAATCAGGTAGCTTATCAACTTGAGTTGCATGTACCTTGGCTTATAGTTATGCATAGAGCAGGGATGAAAAACCCGTGTCCTTCCAGTTGTTGTTGGACTAATCAGCCCTAGCTATCATGACCAATGACCAGGAATTATGGTCTGCAGGTTGGACTACAGGTTCTTCATCCCTGCAGTACAGTATTGGGACATAGGGCTTGTTCCAAAGGCTTCATGGAAAAGAGTTGCATAGAGGGATTTGAAAGGATCAAGGGAGTTACTCGCACAGAGGCATTCTGGAAGATGGTTCCAGTCATAAAGGGCAATAAAGCAGAAAAAGCAGACTCATTTAAGGAATTTGGAAACTTTTTGATGACTTAGAGTGGCAGAACTTCATTAATGAAAGACACAGGCAGAAACAGATTTTACTTTAAAAGTTATTGTGCCCTTGGTAGTCTCTAGGACAGTGTTTGTCTCAAAACAATATTCCCCAGAGGTCTCTTCTTTTCTTTCCCTTTCCAAATTCCATCAAATGCCATAAGCTGTCCAAATTAAAATAAGCAAATCTATTCTGTTTCTACTGTCATGTTGAATGTTTTATACTGACACAAAATCATGAATATTAGAAGAGCATTAAATATCAAAATTTGCAATGGATCCTAAATGTATTTTTATCAAACTGATTTCAGTTCTGAAACGTAAAGTTTAAAACCATATGAGTCATTTATTTAAATGGTGGGGGAATCATGTATATTTGAGTTCTGGGCAAGTCAAGCACACCTGTTGCAGTCTCCTCCTGCATAATCACAATGTCTATAAATTTGCTGTACAATGCGAAGGCAAATATTCCTATATAGGCTACAAATCCTTCACCCATTTTAGCTGCTCAGAATCGATGTAGACTGCCTCTCTCCAGTGTATTGCAAGAAGGGCTTAATTAAATCTACAAATACAATTTTCTGCTATAGTAAATGAGAATTCTTCATATTGTATTAAGAGAAGCATTCATCCCTGATCTTTCAGAAGGCACTTGACAACCTCTTCCTATGGGCAGTAGGAGTTTCTTCACACCTAATTATTACAAGACTCTCAGAATGATTCTCTCCTTCATTTACAGCCACTGGTTGAGGATAGGGTTACTCCTAAATCCATTGCACTAGTGGAAGTGAAAGCTCTGCTGGTGTAAGGAATCTGGTGTAGTGTTGCTGATATCTACTCTTACGCTGAAGGACCTCCATTAGGGTGCAAATGGACTTCTTTGGCTGCATGTGCTTTACTTAAGTTTTAGCAGAGTTATAATTACTTAATTAAATCTGTATATTTTATTTATGCATTTTATTTTTGCATTTATTTATTAAATCAGTATACTGCCCCAGTTCACAGCACAAAAGTACAAGATAAAAACACAAAAAAACATTTTGAGGAATTTCTTGCCAGATGTTTGCTTGTGTGCTTATTTGGGGGAAATTTCTTTTTTTTCCCCGGGGAAACAACACTGCAAAGGGAAATATTTTCAGGAAAATGAATGAGTGTCTGATGAAAAAAGTTAACTTCTGGAACTGGACAACAAATTAACCTAATGGTGCCACCAGCTTTTGTTTTTGTTTTGAATTAATGTCTTGTATTTCATACAGCGTGGGATGCGGTTGGCGCTGTGGGTAAAACCTCAGCGCCTAGGACTTGCCGATCGTCAGGTCGGCAGTTCGAATCCCTGCGGCGGGGTGCGCTCCCGTCGTTCGGTCCCAGCGCCTGCCAACCTAGCAGTTCGAAAGCACCCCCCGGGTGCAAGTAGATAAATAGGGACCGCTTACCAGCGGGAAGGTAAATGGCGTTCCGTGTGCTGCGCTGGCTCGCCAGATGCAGCTTGTCATGCTGGCCACGTGACCCGCAAGTGTCTGCGGACAGTGCTGGCTCCCGGCCTATAGAGTGAGATGAGCGCACAACCCTAGAGTCTGTCAAGACTGGCCCGTATGGGCAGGGGTACCTTTCATCTTTACCTATTTCATACAGCAGACTTTCGTATAGTTTGCATGAATTTTAAAGACATGTACTGAAACTGTGTAAAATTATCATATATATTTTTCAAATTCAGTGCTCCGCAACAGCTACTATAGGTTCTTTTGTAATGCTGTAATTGCACCGCACTTTCAAGCACAATATCACATTTGAAAAGCAACATCTCTTTGTTATCAAGAAGCTGTTTATGAGATCTGCATTAGCAGTGTTTGAAAACTTACAGCATCTAGGGGAAAATGTTCATTACTGAATTTAACTGAAGATGTCCACAGAACTGGAAGACTTTAGAACTTGAATTCCATATCTCTTGTAGTCCTTGACTTTAGTATTTAAATCTGCCCTACTTTTCCTATATGACTGGGTACAGCCCATATAGCCATATAGCCCTATAGCTACAGCGCTGTGGATTGCCAAGGCAGAACACAGAGCAGAACAGCAATTCATTCTCAAATTACACTCACAGCTTTTGGATTAATCTCAACACACCTACACGAAGAAATGCTTCAACATGTCTGACTCTGTAGGGAGTTCGGCTGTAGTGTGATGCTGTTACTAAGGCAACAGGATAGGGTGAAAGCAAAGAGACTATTCAAATAGCAGTGTCAGTAAATGCATCACATCAGGTAAGCCAAAAGATTGCTCTTATGGGAACCAAGAGACCTGTATGGATGGTGGTGTCGAATTGAGACCAGGCTGCAGAATTCACTTCTGCAAAATCCATTTGCTGGGACACCAACATATTATTTGGTTTTAGTCCAGACCCATGAGAAGAGAGCATTAAACCCTCCCAGCCTCCTTTCTCACTTCTTAATAAAAAAGTTCACAGAACTAGATTCCCAGTAGCAACTCCCCCAAGTTTTACAGTCTTGGATTTATGCTGCAGAATGTCTGCTGAAAGGTAAAAAGAATGCAGGTTAAAAGCCAACAAATATGATAGGTAATGAAAAAGATTGCTCCAAAACATTAGTAAATCTTTGTTCTGCAAATGATACTGAACATTTCTCAAAACAATACAAGTATTTAATAATGATGATGATAATAATAATAATAATAATAATAATAATAATAATAATAATAATAATACCTTATTCTTTGAGGGGAGTATTTTAGGGCTGCCAAATATTCAACAGGCAACTTACCTAAAGGAGCTTTTCTGTAGTTCCACCTAGAATTCTGAATTCCGAGGAGCCCTGCAGAGAAAGATTCCCATTCAAAATAATTGAATGATGAAGCAATGTGATACACTTTCTGTCTAAAGTTGATGGAATTTGCAGTTGGGCTGCCAGACCAGTAATGGCGTTGGGCTATTGGAGGTTGAGGTTGAGTTGATGGCAAGGTTGCCAGCAGGGTCTTCTGGATCTGGTTCCCTGTAGGTGAGTTGGGTCCTTTGCCCCACCCACAGCAGAGGGGGTAAATTGCCATGTCATATGCAGATTTGTATCATAACTTACTAGTGGTCCAGATGACCCAAAAACCCCTCAGTTTTCATTCATCCTCAAGCACCACACCCTACCAGATGCCTATTGGACTGGTTTTTTTAAAGATGTTGTGTTGGGAGTACACTTAACTTTAAAAACAATAGCAGCAAAAAGTTTTGCAGTCCTGGAATAAGGCTAAATAGCAACACAGAAAGAATACCAACAGGTGACGTTTCCCCCATGATTGTATTGCTTTAATAGAAAAGGCTAAATTTGTTGAATTTCTGCTTGCCACACAGCTGTTAAAGCATAAGTGGCCTGCTGTTCCCCAGTACCAATGCTTAAAGTTATAAATAGTTATTTAATAAAGGTATTTCTTCAATTGATGTAGGTCTTAAGTACTACACACTGCAATGCCTAGCGTGGTATTTCAGATGTCAGGAGTATGGGTTGGGGGCTAAAGTGAGACGCAAGATTTGTGACAACCAAGATTCATATGCCCATGCTTGGATAGATTCAAGATTAAATGGTTAACAAGCCAGCCGTGTATTCTTAGAATGTTGGTTGTGATCACACATTTAATATATTGCCTAGTTTAACCCATACATGCAGAAAGGCTGTTTTAAAGTGCAGAGCATTTTTTTGTAAGCAGCAGATGATTGCGTAGAAAGCTAAAAATAAGCAGAGACCTGTATCTTCTGAAGTAGGCACCGTGGAACAAAAACTGGAGTTGCACAAAATGAAAACAGAGAGAGAACGTGTAAAAAAGCAGTTGCTAATGAGAAATATAATTGTTGGCTGAAATGCCAGAAGGATGATTGAAAAGGTACATCAGCCTGCTTTGTGTGCCTTTTTCAGCTCTCCACGCACATGTCCCTGCAAATGCATTAGCACCTGCCTACCAGCTGAAGTGGCTCACCTTTAACTGATACGCCTTTCTGAGATGGCATTATACAGCAATTTGCAACTCTCTGCAGGAGGTGAAAACATGCAAGCAGGCATCCTGCTGCCCAGGACAGAAAATATACTGTTAATTGTTCTTTGCAAGTATGTAGAAATACTCTCCAAATATTTAGGGGCACTCCAGGGGCCTGACCATGCAAGTTTGATCCTGGGCACTACACACCAAAGCAGGCGATACGATCTCAGTAGTTCTGAGGTACACACAGTGCCTGTCATGCTTAGCTCCAGAGACAATGGAGCCACACCAGCTCCAGAGACAATGGAGCCACATTCTCTGAGCTTTACAGACACATACCAATATTTCTCAGTTTAATGATTCTAAACTATCTTCTGACGTAAGGCCTGTTACACAATATTTTTAACTTAACTGTTAAGTCGTGGGTGAACATATCAGACGACACAGCGATTCTTCAAACAGCTCTTCTTTATTCAGATGCCAGAACAGAACTGAGCTGAAGGGCTCAGTCAGCCTGCTTATATAGAGCTCCAGTACCTTGTTACTGTAACAACTTTCTAAAACTATCCAATCACTGAACATCACTTTCGATCCTTCATTTGCATAACTATCTACAGTATCCCCCTGCTGGCCCAGGGTGAGAACTTCAGTACATAACACTAACCACAAAAACTGTTGTGCACTCTTTATCTTCTCCAGTTTCCTGCTTCATCATCTCTGTCCCTGCACCTCATTTCTATGGTAGGTTGTTGTTGTTTTTAACTCCTCAATTAACCAGAAATGGCAGCAGTTGTTTTAGACAAGGACCTGGACGCATTGGTCCAGTGACCCGCTCTGAACCAGTTATCTGTGCCTATGAATATTATTTCAGGTATTTAGAAGGAGATCAGCAGGGCAGCATGTTTTTGCAGTTCTTCTTCACTGCATGCAGTGTCCTTACTCCCTGATGTTGTTCCTAACATTTTCTTGAATTTCTAAAAGTCCTTTTAAAATAAATAAATAAACTGGGAGTGTACAATTGCATGTTCCATGGAACCGAGTTCAGTTTGCTCAGGGGAGAGGATGGGGGGGACGACTCAATTATTTTTGTTTACTATTTATAAGTCTGCTGCTCTGAACTCTGCTTACGTTCGTTTCGTTCCTGCTGCCTTGTTAGTGAATGACAGGAAAGGCTCAACAGCTGTTCCCTATTCAGCTCTTCTCAACCTTTCATGCTTTTCAGACACATCTTTAGGCTTCCTTCATTCAGCACTGAAGAGCTACTCCTGTGTGTGTACCCTTCACCATTTTGCCTCCCATTCTCCTCACCTTTTCCAGTTTTGCTGCAGCAGGCAGTGCCAATACGTTTTATCCTCAATGATAGTGTTTCTTGGCAGGCGTTGCTATAACATACAATTAAATTGTGTTCTGCAAATGGTACATCAGATATGACAGGGGAGGCACATCTTTCATCTTTTTGATGTATAATGACATTCAGAATGATCTCTAGTGCTCAGTTGTTAAAACAGCCTGAAGAGTCGGGAGGTCTACAGAGCTCCTTGTTTGATTTAAAATTTGTAAGATCAGCACGTGACCTTCTTTTGAACGTACCTCATTCTGATGTGCTCTGCGCATCATTAATGTCATTAACAGTACATACTGGATATAGAATTGTATAGAATACTGGATATAGAATAAGTTTTAAATTGCCAATTTGGGGGGGCTCTTGAAAAAAGAGGTGACAGAAACAAGATGAGGAGCTGTTGTGCATCTGTGCTGCTTTTAAGTTGAGAGGAAGAAGGGTAAATCAATGCATTTCAATGTATTCCTGTCTACATTGCCGATGTAATTCAATAAATATGTTAATTAAGTATTCCAAACAGGAAAAAAAGAATCGAGACTTTCATTAAGTCCTATTCATTTTGACAATTTTTATGTTATTGGTTCCCCTGCCCCCACCCAGCTTGCTAAGAAATTATCAGTTTTATTTTAGTTTGAGAGCTGGCTTCAGTTAAGATAGCAAAACCTTGAAAAACCAGAGGCAACTTCTTGGTGTTTTTCATCTTTTTGAACAGCACTCTTAAAGCGAAAAGTAATTTCTCCCAGTAGTAAATTCTGTTCTTCTTTGTATGGTATCTGCTTTCTGTGGACAGGTGCACCTTATAACAAATTGGGCTGCTTTAGATGACATGGAAAGCCAAACTATATCAAGGCATTGTAAATGTGTGAGGTTTCAGAGAGGCGTCCACAACCATATTGCTCCTCCCCGTCCCTTTTACTGATGCATTGTGCCAACAAAGTTTGGCTTAGCATGTTGGCTGAACCAGGACTTATGGTTAAGCTCTTTCCTCACTAACCATGAGCTATAGTCCAGAAGGCTACCATGCAGAGATTCAACAGGACTTTCTTCTGAGTAGATGTATCGGACTGCACTGACAAAGACTTAAAGCATATGCATTCCAAGGCATTCCAAGGCAGTAGCTTGCCTCATGGCAGACTACTAATTCAATCCCATGATTGAATATATATTTTTTTAAATCTACCACAATGAACTTTGTTTCATTAGAATGGAGGCAACCCTAATCATCTTCATCTGGTTCCACTAGACAGCTAATCACACGAATTTCAACCACTAAGCAGTGGCCTAGCTGAAGTCCCTTTGAAAGTCAGGACTATCTGACTTCCAATAAAAGTTAACAATTCATGTCTTATGCCAGGCACAGGCAAACTCAGCCCTCCAGATGTTTTGGGACTACAGCTCCCATCACCCCTAGCTAACAGGACCAGTGGTCAGGGATGATGGGAGTTGTAGTCCCAAAACAGCTGGAGGGACGAGTTTGCCTATGCCTGTCTTATGCCTTATTCAAGGGGGTGATTTTCTAAGAGGGTGAACAAACCTTTCTGTCTCTCTGCTTAGAAACCCACTAGCAGGATACAAGGTACTGTCTCCCTCTGTGCCATCTCTTCTACTAGAGACGGGGTATATTTCAAATTCAACAGGCTTGCTACGATGCCTTGGATTTGTGACAGAAGCTTTTAGCGAAAAATCTAGATTTTGGTACCTTTCTCCCTTGAGGGTGCAACAGTGGAGGGTTCGCAAATGCTGGTCTTAATGAGTCACTGCATCAGCAAAAGTGGATGGGGCATTTCACATGTGGGAATAGACCTCTGTGGTCTACACCAACCCTTCTAGATAACTGTATGTGCCTTTGATTCAGAGGTGTAGCAAATGAATGGTGAAGCAATAAGGGCAAAAGCACATATACTCTTGAATAGCCATCTTCTTCTCTCTGTGTGAGCACAAGAATAAATTGTAAGGCAACAGCTCTTTTATTATGAATATTATTCATTGCTCTTGCTCACATTTCATTGGAAACATAAGTATGGTTTTGTTTTCCCTAAAGCTTAAGAAAAAGGCTCAAAATTTTAATGTACTAAAATAGTGGAATTTAAGAACATCCTGTTCAGTGCTTTGAGGTAAAAAGCATTCTTAGTCAACAGAAGTGGGGAAACCTTCTTTCAGAAGAGCATTAGTCAATTATGGCCAAATTGTCATTTCACAAGTCATTTTCATCTGTGATAAGCCAAGTCTTCAAGGTCACCTCAATGTGGTGTCCAATTTCTATTTCCATAATGTTGTTCTGCGGCATATTGGCATTTTCCTTGGAGCTGCCTTCTTTCCTTCATATGAGTTTTAGGCAGAACTTACTTTATAGACAAACAGCATCCTTTGTAATTATCTCAAAGGGTATTGTTAAGAACTAAGTAATGTTAAGAATCTCTTTATGCTATACTTATATGTCTACATTTTGTTTTTTGTTTAAAGAAAAACACTTTGCTACATTTTTGTGCCATTTTTCTGCCATGATGGAACCCAAGGCAGCATACACTCCCAAGTGTTCACCCAGTCAGTGTGTTTACTGATGTAGGCACTGACCACACCTAGACCTACATAGCTTTAACATAGGTAGTCTCATATACTTTTGGACCAGACCTTGGTCCAATTTATTACTCATGTTTATTCCTTCTCATTTACTCAAATAAGGTTTTGCTCTTGTTTAGCTGGATTTCATCAGTGTCTGTCTTGAGTGACAGGTGTGTGTGTGTGTGTGTGTGTGTGTGTGTGTGTATCATACAGTATATACACCCATGTTCAGAACCTGAACATTTGAACAATACTTTAAAGGCGTGATGGGCATTCTCTGGACCACGGCCTTAATTAGGGCCTCCCCACCAGGCCTGTGAGGTTATTTGCTAGTTGCTAAGCCGTATCTCTCTGCTCTAAGGGATGCGGGTGGCGCTGTGGTCTAAACCACAGAGCCTAGGGCTTGCCGATTAGAAGGTCGGCGGTTCGAATCCCCACAACGGGGTGAGCTCCTGTTGCTCAGTCCCTGCTCCTGCCAACCTAGCAGTTCGAAAGCACATCAAAGTGCAAGTAGATAAATAGGTACTGCTCCAGTGGGAAGGTAAACGGCGCTTCTGTGCGCTGCTCTGGTTCGCCAGAAGCGGCTTTGTCATGCTGGCCACATGACCTGGAAGCTGTACACCAGCTCCCTTGGCCAATAAAGTGAGATGAGCACCGCAACCCCAGAGTCAGTCACGACTGGACCTAACGGTCAGGGGTCCTTTACCTTTACTCTATATCTGACAGCATATACTATATGGGGCATCAGCTGATGAGCAGTGCCTTTAAATCCCTGAACTTTTGATTGGTGGTGCTTGGAAAGCCCTTGCCCAGAGCTGGTCCACTCATGAGGCAGGATGAGGTAGCTTTCTCAAGCGGCACCCATAAGGGCTGGTTTGACCGTTCCACCTCCCAGCTTTCTCGCTTGGTGAGAGGGGGAGATCTCGCCCCTCTGCACCTGGCGGTGTGGCAGGGCTTTGCACCAGCTTTTCCTGAAAGGAGAATCTATTTGCAGTGGTGGATTGAAACTGCGCCTGCAAATGGAAATGCTTTTCTCTGCTTGCAGGCATGGTTTGAATGCAAATTGTACCTGCAAACCGACTTCAAAGGGATCCTTGAGTGTGCCTTCAAAGCAGCTTGCTCTCGGCACCAATCAGCTGATCAGTACCAAAAGCATGTACCTTTGAACTTGTCAGCTAATGTCATAACTACACCAGGTGATTGGCAGGTCAAAAGTCTGCCTGCAGCAGTTGGAGATGGAGTTGGCCCACCAACTTGACGCTGTTCTTCACTCATGCTTTTAAAATGTAGGAGCATCCTGGGAAATAGTTTGACGCAATTTCTGTGGTTTCTTCTAGCCATGGAAAAGCTTTTCATTAAGACTCTAAATTTACAGTATGATATTAAACCCACAGAATGGTTTGTTCACAAGATTGCAGTACTTGCATTGCTTTCTTCCATATTATTAAAAAGTGGAAAGTTGCACAACAAATGTTTCTTTTCACCACAAGCAGAGGATACCTCAAACTTCAATGCCTAACAGTGAAACAGATTTTCTATCTATACATATGATTTTGATCTTCTTTTAAAACATAGTATGGCCCCACTGTTAAAACTAAGAAACAAACAATTCTGTGTGCCTTTAAAGATTAACTTGTTATTCACAAGGGATTTTACAGGGAAGAACCTACTTTATTGTATGTTTAAAATGGACTTAGATGATAGTATGTGTAGTTGAGTTGAACTACATACAGTGGTAGGAAAGCATGTTGACAAGGTGAGAGGCATGAAGGTAGCTGAAGAATCCCTTCATTGCTTTAAAAACACAACAAAATGAACTGGACTCCTTGGCAGGTTTTGAATAAGCATACACAAATTTATTGTTGATAACATGATGCACAGATATGTAAGGATATATACAATTTTATAATATGCAGAGAAAATATGTGCAGCGAAATCAGGGAGAGGAGCTGAGGAAAGTCTTTGGTGGGGGGGAGGGAGGGGGAAAAGGGGGTAAATTATGTAGGCGATTATATGGTTTGATAATTTGTTATGTGGAAATTGAGCAATAATTTTATTTTTTTTTAAAAAAGAATCCCTTCATTGCTTTGGGTTACAAAGTTTGGTCCAATTGATTAATACAAACCAGAGTTTGCCTCCAAATCAGACTTGCAAACCATAATTCAAACTGGGTTTCTGTTTCAGGTTTGGAGGTGAAGTTTGTTTAAACTTTACCTCATGAGCACCTTGTGAATACTTTTATGTCTCAGTATGGACAGAACTAGCAATGCTGAGATCAGTAAATCATGGGCAAGCTCATACAACTGTTCTTGACTATGGCCAAACAGGGAAACTTTTTGTTTGCAGCATGGTATTCTTTTCTTTTTTATGCTGAGGGAATTGGCCAGCCATCAATGACATCTGACAAATTCCCACCTTTTCTGAAATAATTATCATTAAAATAGAATTTGCATTGACCTTGCTCCTTAAGCCCCAGGCCAAGGCGGTATCTTTCTCGCTGAAAAAGTGCTCTGATTAATGTGGCCTCTAATTAGGATTTATTGTTGGGTTTTGTTTTATTAAAAAATAATTTGATATTCTTTTATATCGTTTTAATATGTCAAGTGTAGTGCAGCTAACAGGCTAGAAATGAAACATTTACTATATATATACCACTTTCTTGAGAGAGCATCCAGAGTGCTAAAATTGTTTAACAGTGCTAATAGATAAGAAATCCTATCTGGAATAAATCTAAAAATGTTTTTTCCTGCTTTGCTTCTCTTCTTTTGATTGAAAAGATTACGGTATATTGTGGTATTTTTTCCTGATGAGAGAGAGAGAGAATGGCAACATTTAAAGACTTTCCAGTGTGATCCAGGTTTCTGACCATAGATGGCAGTGTCTAATGTTTGAACTGGCCCTTTTACACATGCCGTTTTACAATTTTAAATTGCTACAGTACCCACCCATAATAACCACGAACTATACCTATATAGCTTAGTGTTAAAGTAGGGGAATGACACAAAGGGGGTGGGGTGGGGGAAGCCTTCCATTTCAAATTTCAGCCCCAGTGGCTGCACTATGCATATAAAGAAGGAAAGAAGTCTGAAAAAGAATCGCAAGCTACATATGAGATCTTCCACCCATATTTGGCCTAAATCTGTTCAGATGGAGTATTAACCTGAATACCAGCTGTTGAGTGCATACAATATGGAAGGGCTGTTACCTTCATGACCAGTGCTATTTTTCTGGGGGGTGGGGGGTGGGAAGAGGTGCCAGAACTCGCCAAGAACGCCTCCCTCATTCTCTTAGGATGGCAATGGTGCCCACATGAGAGGAGCTGGAACTGAGTTCTCCTGAGTTCTGGCTGAAAAAAGCCCTGTTCATGATTGCCTGGAGGCATTTGGAAATAGAACTGCTTTGGTCCAATATTCTGAAGCCCTTCTGATGTTCTTCTTGATATGTGTCTCAGATACTTGAACACAGATATAATGAGCTGTAAAGGCAAAGGTAAAGGTACCCCTGACTGTTAGGTCCAGTCGCAGACGACTCTGGGGTTGCACGCTCATCTTGCTCTCTAGGCCGAGGGACCCGATGTTTGTCCGCAGACAGCTTCCAGGTCATGTGGCCAGCATGACTAAGCCGCTTCTGGCGAACCAGAGCAGCGCACGGGGTGTTTACCTTCCCGCTGGAGTGGTACCTATTTATCTACTTGCACTTTGGGGTGTGCTTTCGAACTGCTAGGTTGGCAGGAGCTGGGAACGAGCAAAGGGAGCTTACTCCGTCGTGGGGATTCGAACTGCTGACCTTCTGATTGGCAAGCCCAAGAGGCTCAGTGGTTTAGACCACAGAGCCACCCGTGTCCCTATAGATCAGTACTATGGTTTAACTGGTTTGTGTTACCGATTAAACTATTGGTATCCCAACCTAAAAGAATGTGTTGGGTGGCAGCTTATATATATATATATATATATATATATATATATATATATATACACACACACACACACAGTTCCCTAGTATTGTACTCCAACTCCTCTGAACCTCTCTAAAAAGGCTGAGGATTCTGGGCTACATACCCGGCCTGCTAGTTAAGTTACTCTATATTAAAAACTGTCAGAGAAAGAAAAGCAATTTCACAAAGTCCCTAAATTAATGAGAGTCTGGTTGCATGTTGGTTGCTTTTTCCCCCCTCCACGCATCTGCGCCCTAGTTCAGACTGCCATTCTTAATCATATTTTAATTTTCAAATAAATTGCTTTCATTATCCTTTCATTTACAATACCATGTGTGCATTACTGCTCATTAATGTTTGTCATCTACTATTCTGAAGCCGGGTTTTTAAATAACCATGGTTGCAACATAGTAATTAAAGATGATCCATGTTGGTTTTACAGAAATTATTCTGAAGCCTTTAAAAACACCAGAACCAAAGTGCAACAAGGAAGAATTGCAATATGTAGACATTGCATCCTCCCACCCCCATTGAAAGTGTTTTAGTTTGTTTATGAAAGGAAAGGTGGCTTAATAGAACCAGCTAACCTAAAGACCTACATTATTCTGCACCCTCCCATTAAGCTGTATTACTTTGTTATAATTGACAGGCCTGCTGGTTCTTAGTTATTGGTATATATTTGTGGCACTGATTTGTACACGAGTCCAATCTTGTTTATCCAAATTGTCAGGAAAGCAACTGAAAACATTCAGATAATTAAATGTTTGGTTAAGCAAGAATGCTGTTTTTGTTGGTATGTCTTGACATAGTGCTACATATGAACATACCGGGAATTTAGATAATTGGGGCAGATAATAGATGTCTGGCTAACGGGGCCTTGTTGAAGATAATAAGAGAAAACAGTTGCATCCCACATGAATTTAGTACAAAATACTGTTAAAATAATTTGATTGGTTCCCCTCCAAACTGCTTGATGTCTTGTTGGATCTGTTCAATAATTCAAACAGCACAGAACAATTTCCTCATTCGCAGAACTGCTGTTAAGTGGCAGAAAAAATGAAAATAAATTGATAAGTGTGGTTATTGCACTAAGAGTGTCTGTGTTTATATCAGCAGTAGCAGGTGTGCAAAAAAGCTCACTGCATGCACTGCCAGGCAGTCCCTTTCTACAACACTTTAAAATGTCGTCCTTCAAGCTTACTGGGTTGTATCCAGCTAAGTCATAGTCATGATAAACCTATTGAAGTCAATGGACTTAAGTTAGGGTGCTGCCAGATGGAGTCCTTGCATTGCATTCAGATCTGGTGTGTGTGATCAGCATATAAGCTTCCACACATTTTGTTTGGATATTCATTGACATGCCACTGCATAGCATCCATACCGGTGGGCAGACCATAGTCACTTATCCTTTATCCTCCATGACCTTTCCCCATTTTTAGGTGCACGAGAATGTCTGTATCTGCATGTGCACATAGGAAAGTATGAAAGAGCAAGATCTTTCATGGTGGGCTTTTCGTAAGGGGTGATATCCATTTCCAGTTTTATTTATTGTGAATACCGAGGTATTGTGAAAAACAGTATACCTGAAGGAGCATTTCCACTCCCATCTTTCTGCCTGGACACTGAGGTCCAGTGCCAAGGGCCTTCTGGCGGTACCCTCCCTGCGAGAAGCCCAGTTACAGGGAACCAGGCAGAGGGCCTTCTCGGTAGTGGCGCCCGCCCTGTGGAATGCCCTCCCACCAGTTGTCAAAGAGAAAAATAACTACCAAACTTTTAGAAGACATCTAAAGGCAGCCCTGTTTAGGGAAGCTTTTAATGTTTAATAGGCTATTGTATTTTAGTGTTTTGTTGGAAGCCGTCCAGAGTGGCTGGACAGACCCAGCCAGATGGGCGGGGTATAAATAATAAATTATTATTATTATATTATTATTATAAATAGCAATTTCAACCTGCTGTTTCAATTCGTAGGTTTGGTGTTGGGCTGGGGCCATATGAAGGCAACAGGGAGCAGCACATGCGTGATGGATGTGGACAGGGAAAGGGGACCGAGGGAATCAGATGCAGTCAGGAATGTCATGTCTGATACTGAGGGCGCCACATTGAGCAGCAGCAGCAGCAAGGAGAAGAGAGCAGGATGTAAGGAAGCTGGTTGTTGGGATGCCACCTGTGGAGATGGTTTTGATTGATTGCTCCCCAGTCAGGTCCAAAGCCAGACTTAAGACCGCCTGAGAAGGAAAGGGGCTTCTTGTAGTTGCAGGTAACTGTGGACACAGGCTGTGGAAAATTCACCACTTAGGGATGGTAATGCAAATGTAAACAACAACAACGAAAGTATTCTCTGGAACAAGGCTGGGTATCAGAGGACAACTTGTTGGGTTTTTTTGTCCATAAAGGTTATTTAAATGGTTTTTCAAATTGAGATGCTCGTCTTGTGCTGTGGTGAACAACACAGAAACCTGTCCCAGGCACATAATTTTCAGTTAGATGTCATTGAAAGCTATAAGTGTTTTTTGTGTGTTTTCAGTCTGAGCGCGCATTTTCTTCTAATGAGCTTTGCAGCACTTTCCCCTGGGTTGTGAGGTATAAGCAGCACAATACGAGAACAAACTGGGTCAATTTGTGCTGATGTTCATAACTACATGTAAGTGGGAAATATATAATCCAGCCTCTCCATTACTTTGAAGTAGTTTCCACCCACTCTAATCTTGTCCATCTGCTTGTCACTTTTGTGTTCTGTACAGTGGTTAGTACCACAATGGATTACATCTTATGATACAGACATATGTCTATATCTGTTTCTATAGCTGTATTTCTCCACTATCATCGCTTCTGTCTGTAACTATTTCTGTATCTGTATCTATCTGTCATTTGCTTGGTGTTACTTGCTTGATGATACTCAAGTTGTGAAGTAACTAGAAGATAGTTTCTTATAGTTTTGCTCGTACTTATAAATTATAATGCAGCTGCAGTTTGCCCAATGTGTTGCAGAGAGGCTTCTTAACCATTTTCCCTTGAGCTATTTTTCATCTGAAAATTGTGCCACGATTTCTTTAACTCCAGGTGGGGGGAAAGGTGCTGCTACTTGTATCTTTTCTTCATTAGTAGTGGAAGCAGCTTCTCTAGTCGTTTAGTCGTGTCCGACTCTTCGTGACCCCATTGGCCAGAGCACACCAGGCACTCCTGTCTTCCACTGCCTCCCGCAGTTTGGTCAAACTCATGTTGGTAGCTTCAAGAGCACTGTCCAACCATCTCGTCCTCTGTTGTCTCCTTCTCCTTGTGCCCTCCATCTTTCCGAACATCAGGGTCTTTTCCAGGGAGTCTTCTCTTCTCATGAGGTGGCCAAAGTATTGGAGCCTCAGCTTTAGGATCTGTCCTTCCAGTGAGCACTCAGGGCTGATTTCCTTAAGAATGGATAGGTTTGATCTTGTAGTAAAGGTTTGATCATGTAGGAAAAAGTATTAAGAAGCCTATTCTTTCTCCCCCCCCCCCAAAAAAAATTTGGCCTTCCACTTCAAATTGCAGATTTCAATGCCTGACAAAAATAATCTTCTAAAGGAACAACAATGCAATTCATAACATGTAGTTCTGCCCTAAGTCAAGATTGTAACTTCTGTTGCAAATGATGCTTCCTGTGCACTTAGCTTTCTTGGCCTTCACTCTGTGATATAAGTATACATTGTGATTCTCCGATCCTATATGACATGGAATACAGTATGTTACTCCAAAGTGTTTCATGTGTGCCTCTGAAATGTAATGGGAGATATGGTTCTGTCTATGTAGTATGTATTTGCATAATATGTCAATAAATCACATATTGCATCCATGTGGTTTAGTGAAATATTCTGCTGCTGTGTTCATGTCTTCCTTTACAGAAGTGCGAATTTTGAGGAAATTCCTGTGCAGCCAATATTTATGAATGTGATATAAAATACATGTTACAAAATAAGGTTTTTGTTTTAGATTGGAAGTATTCATACCACATGCTTACCAAGTAGTATGTAACATTTAGCAAGATAAGCATAAGAATTTTTGATTATTTATTACCCTGAAGAGAGAATGACAGAAGATCCTGTTTTTAAACTCCATCTCATAATTAAGGTTTTTAATTAAATGCTTCTGCACTGAAAATCGGGTTTTTATTAAAGTATTAAAGTATTAAAACAAGAAATTTCCTGTGCCTAACCTGGAATGTGAATGGGAAACAAGTGCAGAGGCTGTATGAGTAATGATCCGGTTGGAAATTGCTATCCTTCTCTGTGTACGTGAGAGATGTTGCTGTAGATAAAATTTTAACGTTGCCAATTTGACATGCATTTGCCTTTATTACAAGCAGGGCATAATGTACAAAGATTCCAATCCCCTTCATCATTGCCACCAGTACTCTGATCTGCCGGTGGAACGTGCAACTGAGAAATGGCTGCTTTCCTTTATAGAGGGAATTGGTGATGTCAATGAATGGCTGAGCTCTTACCAAGAAAGACCAAAAGAGTCTTATGCATGCAAATTTATAACTTCCCCCTGTTTGTTTTTTGTGGTTTAGAATGAGCAGTGCAGAAAATTACCTTGGTGGGCGAGGTGATGGTGGAGGACACGAACAATAGCCACTGACTATCCAGATATTTTATTTTTTATTTTTTAAAAAGGACTAAAAGATTTCTCTTTTTCTTCCCACATAATGTGCCGTTTTCATTTTGTGCTGCATATAACCCTCCATGTCACAGCTTTCTATTCTTGTCTGAATAGTCAATGAAACATTAGGAAGCCGATAAGAGAAGCTCTGGCCTGTTACTTGGCAACGGCTGTTGAGCAGAGCAGAGTGCTGTTGATTGAGGAGATTAGCTGCCATAGATAAACCTCCTTTTTGCTGCCCTGCTGCTCATCTTTCCACCCTTAACAGGTAGTTCCAAATATGACTGCAGCTGGGGAGAATGAGCTTTATTGCGAACCAAGTTTGCTTGACAGGTTTACGGTAGTAACTTAAACCAAAAAAACCCCTTTACTTTCATTAAATTGAGTGCATTGTGGCTTAAGTTCTTGCCTTGTTCCAGAGTAAATACTTTTATTTATTTTTTTTGGAAGGGTGCCCACGATAAGAAGGCATCTGTGCTGTTTTCCGTCTGCATCCTTAAGCTTCAAGCCTCAAATCATTAACTTCAGGGTAGTCCAACTGGTGCCACTGAGATCTTTCCAGATTATGGGATGTTGGAAAGAAAACATGGCTCTGGAATTCCTTTTGCAACAAATGAAAGAATGAAAAATAAACATTTAACCACCAGTTACTGTGCAATATCATTCTGGGGCCAAGCTGGAGTTCTCTATCCTCAGTTGGTGACCCTAATGTAACTTACTCCAGAGTAATCTCATATAATATGTGGTACTGTGTCATAATAGTAACAGGATTACAACTGCAACTGTTGGTTGCATCCACCTGTTTAAAGCAGCCTAATAGTTTCACATCATAAAAATGTGGTCTGCTTAACAACATACCGAACCCACTTCAAAAGAAATCTCTCTCAGTCTCATTAGGGTTGCACAGTATTCAAGAAGTATCTCTCTGCCCAACTACAGTTGTTTGAGTCTACAAAAGAGGTTCTCAAACTATTGTGAGCTCTACACAAAAATAAAAAATAAAATTTGAAACCCACAGTTATTTTCTAACCAAAAGCAGTGTGAACACAAGCAGCCTGAGAGCTGCCTCGTGGGAGAGGTTTCGAAAGCTTCAAATGACAGTTTTGCAAATAAATGAGAGGCAAAATTGGTATATAAGTGACTGCGACAGTTGAGAGGATTATTTGCAGCGTTGCTGGGGGGAAATGAGCCAAATCAGAAAAAAGGTTAGAGTCTCTTGGGAGTATGTGGAGTGGGGATGATGTCTGTCTGAAATTAGCTTCCGCTATCTGGAAGAGGAGTTGGAAACCTATGGCCTTACAGATGTTGCTATATTACAACTCCCACTATCTTTGACCATTGGCTATGCTGACTGGAGCTGATGGGAGTTGGAGTCCCAACAATGTCTGGAGGGCCATGGGTTGTCTGCTGTTGCTCTAGAACAATTAAATTTAAGGTAGAAAAAAAAGCAACAGAACACTTGTGGCTGATGAGGCAGCTCGCTAGTCAAATCCTCCATTGTGTGGCAATAAAGGAGGGAATTTCTACACACAATTTCACATGCCAAGATGTGTTATTGGAGGCAGGGAGTACAGCAGCCAGTATGGTCAGTCCCTTCTCAATTACCACAATATAACAGTGGTTTCTACTGAGAAACCTCCTTCACCAGCTACCACTGTAGTAGAATGAACATGAGAAGAAGAAGCAAAAAACAAAGCAAAACCCAAACACCTCAACTAGCTCTAATGAAGAGAGATTCTGGGAAAAGATTTTTAACAGAAACCCCCCACAGGCTATGGATGGCTGTGCAAAGTGAAGAATAAGCTGAAAAATCTACTAATATAGATATTGTTCCATGATGGCATATCTCTCCCATGTGCAATTTTGAATGTGTGAAGAACTTGTACATAGGGCTTTGTGGAGGAACTCCTGTCAAGATTAATCAATCAGAAAATGAAGGTTATATACAAACTTTTTAAAAAATTGACAAGCTTGGATATTGGTGAGAAATTATTCTTTGTATATGGAGTATTAAGCATGAATCTGGCTTTCCTTATTGGGCCAGATTACAGTTTGCTTGTAGCGAACTGGTTGAGCAAGCATCACCTTTGGGTACAACTGCCATTCATTCTATTTAATCACAATCTGAGCCAAGGGAGGAGCCATTGCTGGAACAGTTTCCCATGAGGAAACTGCAACCTTACGCTGAGCAGTGCTGGACTAGATTCCCCACTCTTCTTGTGTTCATTTACAGCAGGGATGGGGAACTTGTGGTCTTTCACCTCTCCTCTTTCCAGGGACTGATGGGAGTTTAAGACCAACATCATTTCAAGAGCTGGAAGCGCCTTGTCTCTTATTTAAAGGAGGAATGACACACTCAGGGGTTGTCTGAATGAGCTTAGAGAGTAACCACAGTCAACTCACCTGGCTTTGAGTTACTCAGAAAATATTAGTATATTAGACATATTGGTGACCAGTTCTTTGAAAGTGACTGCCATGGAGGTTGCTCTGTGCAGGACGCCATTCTGGCATAAGATCATTGCCTTGCCCCCTCCTCACACTGTGCCAAGTCCAGTGGTTAAAAACTTGCAGTGAAGGCTAATCCATGTAGGGCAGAGGTCAGCAAACTTTTTCAGCAGGGGGCCAGTTCACTATATTGTGGGGGGCCAGACTATATTTGGGGGGGGGAGTGATGCAAGAGAACCACGAGCCCCAGTGCCTGCTTACCTGTGTCTTCCGAGCGGCAGGGGCTGGCGGAGGTGGAGGGACAATGAGCAATGAGTGCACAAAAGGGCTCCAGAGAGGGGCTGCTTAAAATGGCGGCCGCTCAAGCACTGCTGCTGCTGGCACCAACAAAGCCCAGCCCCCTTCCTCCTCTAGGCAGGGCGGGGAGGAGGGAGGGAGGAGGTGCTGCTGCCGCCACTGTGGGAGGGAGGGGGAAGGAGAGGGAAAGAACGTGCACGCTGGCGATCCACGCTGCAATTCCCGACCATCCGTGGGCTGGATCCAGAAGGCAATTGGGCCTGATCTGGCCCGCGGGCCTTTGTTTGCCTACCGATAATTCAGGGAGCTCGAATGCATACAGTAACTGTGTTTTAAGTGCTTCAGTGTAGCAACTGCATTATTAGAAGCAGACGTCATTGCCCTTCCATTTAAAGGTCACTGAATGCAATTTCAAGTCAGCCAATTTAAGGAACATGAAAAGAAGTGTGGCAAGGGCTGTGGCATAGAACTATCCTCAAATCCCACAATTTTAGGAATGACTTCAGGTACCTTAATTTCACTTTCAGCTTTGCGTAGAATTTAGGGGATCCCTTAAAAGGGAGAGAGACATTTACGTTAGAGGATGGGTGGAGCCCCATTGCAGCCCAGGGGCCACATTCCCTCATGGGCAACCTTTCGGAGGCCACATGCCTGTGGTGCGCTGGGCCGGAGGCAAAAATAGGAGGAGCAACAGGTGAGGCTGTTATGTTTGTACAGCAAAAGTGAGAGGTTTCTACACTCACCTCTTTTCTCCAGGCAGGGAAACATGAGGCATTACCACAGTTCAAGCACATCTTCCAGGCAGGCAAAAGGATTTGAAGAGGGTACAGAGCCAGGACTATTGAGGGGTGAAGCCTGGAGATATGAGGCTGGACTACAAAGAAATGTGCCCTGGGAAGATACAGAGGCCTGGATAGCCACAACTGACACACACACACACACACACACACACACACACCCCGGCCTGAGATTCCCCACCTGTGCACCAGAGCAACTGTCTTTGGCTTTGTGAGATATCATATCACATAAAAAGTAGGCTGGTGTTCTTTTTGCAGGATAGTGTCCTTATGATGTGGTGCAGTTTGGCTGCTGGAGTAGGCAGATGCAGCCCATGGTTCCATAGTGGATCCGTCTTTATTTTTAAACTGAACAACAGCTCCCAGGGGGCAGGCTGGTAAAACAAATGTTAAAACAGCTCCTTCACTACATAAAAGTAGAACTTACTTCTTTGAATTGTAATGAGTTCTCCCAAGCCTGGAAAGATGAAATGAGTGCAGCTAGAACCTTTTCAGACACGGAGAAAGATGTCTGAAGAAATCAACTTAGCGAGTGCCACAGTAGACGCTGTATCAGGGAAGAAGATAAGCAAAAACAGTGTTCTCTTAAGCGGAGTTAAAAGTAAAGGTAAAGGGATCCCTGACCGTTAGGTCCAGTCGTGGCCGACTCTGGGGTTGTGGGCGCTCATCTCGCTTTATTGGCCGAGGGAGCCGGCGTACAGCTTCCGGGTCATGTGGCCAGCATGACTAAGCTGCTTCTGGTGAACCAGAGCAGCGCACGGAAACAACGTTTACCTTCCCGCCGGAGCGGTACCTATGTATCTACTTGCACTTTGACATGCTTTCGAACTGCTATGTTGGCAGGAGCAGGGACCGAGCAACGGGAGCTCATCCCGTTGTGGGGATTCAAACTGATTGGCAAGCCCTAAAACTGATTTTCTTATCAAGCAATTTATTATCGAGAGACTCTATAGTCCTCTCTTTTCCCCTCATTAAGGAATCATTTTGAAAACCCAAACTATAGCTTCTTCCTTTCAGGGAGAGATGGAGAGGACGTGGGACGGGGGGAGAGAAATTATTGCCATTTAGATCCTTCCTATATAATCTTTCAGTTTTGCTCTTTGATTCACATGTGAATGCTTTCTGATGCTTTCAAAGTTTAACCTAAGAGGATTTCTTCCTCATGAAGTCAGCGTTCTCTTTGACCTCTGTGCAGAGGTGTATTTAGGGTCCCTTGTGCTCTGCACCACATAAAAAGCACACACACTTTACCATAGCCACATTAGCAATTACTACATTTTACGTGTGACAGCAGTCGCGCATTGCCACACACATATACATCATGCACTCCATAGTCTGATAGGGGTTTTTTGCACATGCCCCTAGACCTGCACCCCTGGCAGGGGCTGATTTCACCAACCCCTAGTATGCCTCTGGCATACTGTGAGCAACTACTGTCAGAAATGAGAAGCTGTTTCTCAGATTGCATTGTATTGTGCTATATCAAAATTTGAGCACCATAGAATTCTATAGAATTCAAATTGTAAGTGTTCTTCAGGCCATTGATGGTCCATGCACCATAGTTTGGGGACCCTGGGTCTACACTCAGGTAGTGGCCAGTTTCAGAATGGGGACATTCCCAACGCTACCTGGAGATGCCAGGGATTGAAACCGGACCTTTTTGCATGTGAAGCAGATGCTGTACCACCGTTAAGCCACAGCCCTTCCCCAAGGTTTCTCCAAGCTCTCCGGGAATGCGCATAGATGGAGGGTGGGAATGGCATGTGCATCCCTGCTCCTCACATGCATTGAATGAACATCTGAAAACAAAAATGGGTTGGGATACTCTGAACAACCGTGCTGTTTGCGTGCGTGTTGAGAGCCAGTGTGGTGTAGTGGTTAAGAGCGGTAGTCTCGTAATCTGGGGAACCGGGTTTGAGTCTCCGCTCCTCCACATGCAGCTGCTGGGTGACCTTGGGCTAGTAACACGTCTCTGAAGTCTCTCAGCCCCACTCACCTCACAGAGTGTTTGTTGTGGAGGAGGAAGGGAAAGGAGAATGTTAGCCGCTTTGAGACTCCTTAAAGGGAGTGAAAGGCGGGATATCAAATCCAAACTCTTCTTCTTCTTCTTCTTCTGTTTTGTAGCTACTTAAAGGCAGTTGCTAGGCTTATCTCCGGGGATGAGAAACACAAAATAGATAAAGCATTTCATCAGACCAGCTTGCTTTGTTGTAAGTGTGTGTAGAGAATAGAGCAAGCATGTGTTCGCCAGGAAGGAAAACATCACCACATGTCCGTGTATCCCTTTAGAAGCTATCCATAGCTTCAGAACTCAGTATTTTGTAGGACAGAGAAATATGAAATCCAAGCTAACTCAAAATATATGGTGGTGTGGCAGAAATCTTTTGTGTGGAGTAATCGTTGCTCAACTGTTAGGAAGAAATCACACTTGAAAATTTGCAGAATTTTTTTTTTTAAAAAAAAACATTTTAACTGCATCTCTTCAAGTCTAGGTTATATAATATAATATAAAATATTCCAGTTTATAATGTAAATTAAATGACTTTGATATAGGTGTGTACTCTATAATACCATAGATGGACTGTTTGAATGTTGAGAGCAGCTGTTTCCCCATCTATCTATTCTTTCATCTTGTTGAAGCTCCATATAAATAAATAGGTACTTCCAAATTAATTCACAATATTATGTTCTATTAGTCAAATTGCACTGTCCCTTTTGATTATGAATGCAATATCTGCAGTAATTACTGAATTAAAACAAGCAGTATGAAGAATAGCATGCTAATTAAACTTTTTGCATTTTCAATAGTTTTCTGTGGATCACTGTGTACAGGTGAAGACAACAATAAATGCACCCATTTTTTTGAAGCCTAGCGCTGCAGATGGTCAGAGGATATTATAAGCACCCGAGTTCTAAATTAGTCTTTTGTATGGAAGGGAGAAAGGTAATTTGAATGTTTGAACTCCCCCTCCTCTGCCTATCTTCTTCTTCCCACACAGGAAGCTTGTCTTGAAATGAACAATTCTCTAAATAAAGACTAATTAGGACCTAAATTAATTAGAAGGTGTGATATGAAAAGAGCTTGATGAGAAGGGTCTGTCATTTTAGATGAATGGAATGGAGCTAAATAAATTAGGTTCCATTAATATCTCATTGTTGCATGAGCCGCTCCCTTTTATTGCATTCATTAGAGGGTACTACATTAAACTAGCCTTGGCTGCTTATTATCGATTCACCACTCATTTACTACTACATAGCTCCTGTATTAAAAGGAGCGGGGGCGGGGGAAAGAAACCCTCTCTCTGCAAACTAACATACATGTTTCCTGGGCAGTCTGGTTTTCATGAGAGTTACAGTGGTACCTTGGGTTACATACGCTTCTGTTTACATATGCTTCAGGTTACAGGCTCCGCTAACCCAGAAATATTACCTTGGGTTAAGAACTTTGCTTCAGGATCAGAACAGAAATCGTGCTCCGGTGGCAGGGCGGCAGCAGGAGGCCCCATTAGCTAAAGTGGTGCTTCAGGTTAAGAACAGTTTCAGGTTAAGAACGGACCTCCAGAACAAATTGGGTACTTAACCCGAGGTACCACTTTATTGCTTTATTTATTTGCTTTGGCATTACTAGAAAGGATGTATCAAAAAGTGAAGCAGTTTTTAAGGGAAGGTGACCAATTACTTTCTCATTACCATGTTTAGTGCAACTGTCATAGTAACAAAACATATTGCAAATTTCTTTGTGTATGTAGGTATGTCATAGAACAATGTGATTTATTCACCCTTTTACCTTATGCCCCACCCCTTTTTTTTTACCTTCTCCAGATGGAGTATTTGGGAGATGTCAACAGGTGCCAGTGATAGACGTGTACAAGTATGAAGTTTCACCACTCATCCTCCAGCACTTGAGAATTGTCTTAGAGAAGCTGTTACACAGAGGTACTGTACAGAACAGAAATGTTAGATAGCATGTGGATATATCGATTCATTGGTATAAAGGGATCCAGCTTTTGCAGAGCTTTGAGCGAAACATTTTACTCCAGCCATGTCAGGTAGGCTTGGAATGAGCTGCGTTGCTTCCCCAGAATTCAGAAACCTCTTCTGCCCTTTCTGTTGAAGGAGGACCAGCTGCAGTCCAGTTAATTATTAGGTCACTTCCAGACAACCTGTTTCTTCAGCATTCATCCTGATTTGTTTGTGGAGAGATTAGATGGCACCGACTATTTATTGAGCATGTATTCCTATTTGTTTGTGGAGAAGTTGCATGCATAGCTGTCAACCGTCCCTTATTTGGCGGGAAAGTCCCTTATCCCAGCACTGTGTCCTGCTGCTGTCCCTTATTGATGATGTCCCTTAAATTTCCCGGGTTTCAAAGGAAGCAGCTTCTCTCCCTCCTCCCTGCTGGCCAGGGAGGAGGGAGGCTCCAACTGTGTTGCTTGGCTGCATTGCTCACCCATTAAGGAGTCTAAGAACGACTGGGGGATGGAGCTTGCATGCCTTGTGCCGATCAAATCGGCCGCATTGCCTGGGGACTTGCCTTTGCTCAGCGCTTCCCAGCGGAGAGGTGACGGAGGTTTTCCTTGCTGCATCCCCTTTGCTGGGTTACTGCGCTGTGGGAACCACTGCTTGAGGCTTTGTTTGGCTGCTGTCTGGGCTTTCTGCCTTTGGCTCGGAGGGGCTCAGAAGTTGAACATACCTGTGCTCCAAAAATCCCTAATTTTGGCTGCTGGTCCCTTATTTTCAAATCTGTAAGTTGACAGCTATGATTGCATGGCATGTCGTTCCTTATTGCAATAAGTCAACTCTTTTGGGGAGGCAGGTTTGTTGCACAAAACCTCAAATCCAACTTCAATTCTGCAGCCTGAATTTGCTGATATGTGATTGAATCCCACCTGAAAATAGCAGTAGGCTGGAAGCCCCCTTCCACTACTTTCTCCCAGGAGCAAGAGCAGTCCCTTCCTGTTTGAGATTAATGCAAGCAACTAGCTCCTACAGGCACAACTTCATGACAACGGGGCTCAGGAGTCTAAGGGAAGGAAGCTGCTGGTAAGGCTGTGTAGGGCAGCCAGCAAGAAAGGCCATGAAAATTAATTACATTGCCAAATAATGCACAGCAAATCTCTTTCGCTCTTTTGTAACAATTTTCCTCTGCATGTTTCATTTTCGGCCATTTGGGCGTATGTTTTATCCGATAATAAGATATTCAGCTTTATTGCAATTACGATTTCCATTTTTCTTCCCTGTTTCATAGTCATTGATTACTTCCAAATTATACCTGTGATCAAAGCAGAGATCAAAGAGGTGTTAGGTTCTGTATCAATAAATTAAAGTAAAAAAAAAATTACAAAAACATCCCTATTAATACAGAAGACCCAGGTAGGCTACTGTTAGAGGCTGCAGATATAATATAAGGCTGGTTCTGCCTGCTGTTTATAGAAAGCTTTTTATTAAAGGATTTTCACCTTGTTGTGCGAAATGTTTCATTTCCATCCAAACGTTTGGGGAACCGACTGTTTCTCTGTATGCTTTATCTCTTTGTTCTTCTTCGCATTATAGCGCTGTATCTGATATATCCTGCAGTATTACAATCAATGTGGAGATGCAAAAATTGCTTGATTTCTTCCATCCCTCTTGTTCTCTTCTTCCCCTTTGTGCATTCTTTCATTATTCTCCTTGTGAGTGTCACAGTCCCCCCCTTTTCTGTACAGCAAGGCAGCTCTCACTTTTAAAAAGCTGCTACTGGAAAATGCATTTGCCTTCCATCCATGCTACTCCTTCATCAAACCTGTCATCCACATTCACTTTCATCTTTGCATCTTACCTCAGGTGCTATCCTGAATACATAATATGTCTCTGCAACATGGGCGGGGCAGCTTGAAACTGGCACTACTGCCAGGAATAGGTAAGGACCCATGTGAGGATGGATGGCCCAGGGCCACAGCTCTGTATCTAGTCCCTATAAACAGGCCATTTCAAGCAGATTCCGGTGGCCAGCCATGTAAGAAGGGGCTCACAGAGCCAATTTGGAAAGAATGGGAAACCCTGGGCTCTTCCTGTGTGTTCCTGCATTGACCTTGCATGCTCTCCTCTCCATTCTGGGGTCATATGGAGTACGTTGTCATCAGCATGCTGACGGCACACAGCTTTACTTCTTCTTTACAGGTGTGGCAGTGGATGTGCTGGACTTGTCTTGCCTCGGTAATGGGGCAAGATGGTTTGAGCATATAATGCCAATCCTGGCCCGACTGCACTGGCTGCGAATTAGTTACCAGGCCCAAATCTAAGTGCTGGTTTTTGATCAATAAAGCCTTAAATGAGTCAGGACTGTAATACCTCAAGGATTGCCTGACCTGGATCCTGCAATCACTATCCCGAGGGCCTTCTTTGTGTAACTCCTCTGTGAGAGGTCCAGAGGGTGGCAACATAAGATTGGGCCTTTTCAGTGGTGGCTCCCCGTTTGTGGAATGTTCTCCCCAGGGAGGCTCCCCTGGAACCTTTGCTACATTTAGGCTCCAGGCAAAAACATTCCTCTTCTCCCAGGCCTTTGGCTAATTATACCACCTATGGTCTCTTGAACGCTGCATGTGGGGGTTATTGTTCTTAGTATATTAGTTTTACTGGGTCTTTCATGATATCATTGTCAGAACCGTGGGATGGAAAGCCAGCTGGCTTGGCCCTAGCCAGAATGTCTCCCTTCTCAGCCT